AGAGGAGGGCAGCAGGACACAGGGGACGCATGTGCACTGGGAAAGACCCTGTGGGGACACAGCGAGAGGCAGCCATTAAGGCCAGGGACAGAAGCTGTAGCAGAAACAATGCCACCAGCCCCTCCGTCACGGCCGGCCTCCAGCCCTGAGGGAGCTGCTCTGCTGTCTTGGCACCTGGACGGTGGCATCTTCTTAGGGAAACACACAGAGAGTTCACTGTGAACTCAAGTCTGCCTCTAGGGACATTTCTCAAATTGTCACCAGCCAGTATGGGTCCTTGCTTTAGTGACAATGGAAATTAAAACTAAATCAACAGGGAGGCTCTACAGGCAACGGCTTTAATTGTAAGGTAAGAGAATATCAGAAAAGGACTCCAGCCTGGGTCCCACCTGGCGGTGCACAGACGAAGCAGCTCAGACTGACCTGTCCGCAGAAGGACAGAAACTATTTTTTTTCAGGTGCTGCGGTGGGCCAGGGCCGGCTCAGTGATATGGCAGCTCTGGTTGTGTAGTTCTGGAGGAAACTGCAGGACTAAGGGGCAGCAATTTAGTTCCTATGGGTGGAATCGTCACGACTTGGGCAGCCTCAGCTGTCTGAGGCTGTACTGGAACCCAAGGCGCCCCTAGCTTTAGGGCAAGGGAGATTCTGGGCATGGCCGAATGTCCCCGTAAATCTCTTGTCATGATGTCCTCGGTCTTGAAGGGTAACAAGATAGGCTTGGGTAAGTTTAGGGCTAATAAGGGTTGTTTCGCCAGCTTTTAGACAGGTACTCCCTGTACGCAGAGCAGCAAAGGATTTGATCCAGAGTTTTACAAAATGAAGGTCAAGCTTTGCTCTTCTTTCAGTTACCTAATGGGGACTTTTAGGCCCAAGTGAAGGTCACAATTTTTAGCAAAAACCACTGTGAGGTCTCTGACTGCCTCAGAAGTAAAGGCAAATCACATAATTAGTGGCAACAAGTAAAGGGCCCAGAAGTTTGTCCTCTGTCCCTACAATGGTGACTATGTCATAAATACAGATAATATTCTAATTTTCATATATTCATTTATAGTCAGTTTAATTTTTTTTTCATTTTTGTTTTTGTTTTCGTTTTTTTGAGACAGGGTCTTACTATGCAACCCAGGCTGGCCTCAAACTCACAGCGATCTTCCTGCCTCAGGCTCCTGAGTGCTGAAATTACAGGAGTGCACCACCCCAGCTAGAGTCAGTTTAATACTAAGATTTACTTATTACGGGGCTGGTGGCAGCGTAGTGGGAAGACACGGATGTGGGGTGTCTTCAGGGCCAGGAGAGGAGAAAGGATGCTCTTTAAGGACCAGGAGACAAAGGACCAGGAGATAGGGGCAGCAGCAGGAGAAAGCAGGGGTAGCTAGAGAGGGGTTCATGTGACCTTGGTTGGGAAGGCCTGAGCAGGATGAGCGGAAGGGAGAGGGGAGAGGAGATGGAGGAGACCTCTCACCTGAGAATCTCCTTCAGAGTTTTGTCCTGGAGCAAATAACATTCAAGAAAGTTCTTCCAAGGCCTGAATGTTTTCTTGCACACAAAGAGATTCCAACACTCTTCAAATTCTGAGATGAAAGAGGGAGAGAACATCAGAGCCCACAGGGCTTGGCCCTGGAGCCTTCTAGGCTGGCCAAAGGGCTCCCCTTTCCCTGCGCCCCCAACCCTCCACCTGACTGGCCCTCATCCGGGTCCCCAGGCAGCCCTCACGCCCCACCGCTCACCTGGGAGGGACATGATAGAAATCTGGGCCCCGCCCTCAGCCAGTGCTTGCAGCCCCTCCTTATATGTGGGCTTCCAATAGTAGTAGATGCGGGCGGCGTAGATGGTCAGGGTCACGTTGTGGTGATTGGCCAGGAATTTTGCAATCTCCTTTGCACATTCATCACAGGGGCTCCAGGACACGTACCAGGTGACCCTGTAGCTCTCATCAAGGGACGGCTGAGTGTCATGGAACCAAGAGAGGAAGCTGAGTTCTGCGTGGAGTCTCTGGGGGCCGACCTGGGAGAGGAGGGGGAGAAGGGCGAGGTCCCCGGCTGGAGGGGCAGGCAGCACGGGGAGGGCATCTCATCCCATTCCTGGTCTCCCCTTCGCTCCATCCCTCCCCGTCCTCCTCATGGCGGCCGTCCCCCACCCCCCCACGCACTCCCGCATCTGCTCAGCACCCATCCTGGGCAGCAGGCACTCTGAGCCCCTGCTCCCGCTCATCTCGTTCCCCCTGTTGTCCCCTGGGAAGGGACACAGCTCTGCTGTCCCACAGGTGCCCATGGCCGCAGGTGAAACTGGGCTTGTCTGAATGGAGACAGCAGCCCGTGTGAGACACGTGGCTCACCGCCTGCCT